CAAGTCTTGATTCTAGTATGAACACAAATGGCCATGATAATAAAAACCCTTCAGAATGTTTATTTACTTCACAACTGTATTAACTTATTGAGTAATGTAAATAATGTAAATGAAGACCAGAATCTGGTGATATTAACGGATAATAAAAAACTTATCCTCGAATAAAATGGCAAAGAGTTATGTATTTGCTCTCTGCAAGAAAGCTCAAATACCTTATTAATCAATGAAAATATAGAAATACATTGATAACTTAGAATACAATGTTATGGGTTCTTGCTTGATTTTTTTTCTATAAATGCACCAAAAGTTATTAGGCTAAAGTACAGTATCTTTTGTTATGACCCACAAGAATTAATCATAAAATAAGTAGGAACCCTGATATTTAACTTAGCTGTGTAAAAGACTGGTTATTTCTCATGTTAGCTTACAACAATAACACATTTTTTGCTCTGAAGCTGTGTCTATTCTTTACACACAGTGTGCTAATGATTATCCAAATAACCACCATGCAGGACTTTTAACCCTTGGGAGTTACTATGACTGACTTGTCTGGGCTCTATTCAGAGTGATAACAGCTTTCATTCTCCTTGGTTAGATATCCATAATAGGACTACAGCCACAACTAAAATGGATAGCCATCTAGCATTTCCTTCCTTGCCAGTGACTGAGTGGCTTGTTATTATGTATTTACTAAACCAGCAATGGTAATCTATTTTCATTACATTCAATGTAATAATGTAATATCATTTCATTGTGATCTTCATACTGGACATTCAATCATTTCAGTCCCTGAGGGAACTGAATTCGTTTCAGCTCACAGAATTTTTATTTCCTTATTCAAATCCTATATAGCTTAGTATTTTCCTTATTTCAACCTAAAAGTACATTCATTTTTACACCAGCCACTATTCAGTGTTGCTGTTCAGCTCTTCACTGCATCCATTATGTTGTAATATGAACCAACACCAGACTGCTCCAGGTTAACATTGTACCATGTGAATGGAGCCTTAGAGACCTCATTCTCTAGCATGCTATTACTGTCACAAAAGTAATATTCAGAACACTGGAAAGTTCACAACAACAGAGAGCAACTTGTTTTTTATAAAGCTGGGTTTCATCTGGAGCATTAGAGATGTTAACCTCACCATGAAGAAATCGTCTTAGAGTGAAACCCAGGTCCAATGCTAGGTGTTCTCTTCCCCCCATGTGACAGTTATTTCTGGTCATGTGAACTGCTGCATTGCTGTTTTCACTCTGAAAATGAAACAGACGAAAAAAAAGATCACTTGTTACTGCAAAGCAAGTGTTTACAACTGAATTATGTTTTGAGAATTAAAAAATGAAAAAAAAAAGACAAAAGACTTAGAAACTCTTCGTTTTAAGTAAATTACAGCATTGATTAGGAGAGATTTGCCAGTTGACAACCAACTCTATAGATAGGCTTTCAAAGGAATCATTAAGCAGTTTTCCTTTTCTGATCTCCTATTAACTACTTTTCAATTAGGACTCCCACATGTAGAACACAATATGGATCACCATCTTGGCAAAGCAGACTAAGCACACATCCGCAGTACCAATTTGAATTCATTAGGCAGTTTTCTCTCCAGTTGATGTCAAATGTGAGATTTAACTGTTGAAATGTGGGTAATGAGTGAACAGGGTGGTACTTACTTGTCAAAAAGAGTTGTATTATTTGTGCTTAAGAGCTGTTGTAGCAATTTATGTACACCCAACTCTGTCAATTTGGCTTGCCTTTCTGATGCACCTGTCAGAGTAAAATTTTTAAAAAGTTTCAAAATGCACTATGTGAAATATTGACATAACTCTAAAAATAAACAAAAGTGGAAGACGAAAGTTAAAACCTGCATTAACTAAACCCTAAATTTACATCATTACTTTTTTAATATACTGACAGTCAATGAAAACACATCATTTATTTATCAAATAATATTTTAAGTTCCTTTGGCACATTAAGAAAATAACAGTTTTCATATGAAATATGTGAAATATGAAATAGTGGTCAGCCCACTCTCTTATGACCAAACAAGTGCATTTGTACTTGTTTATATGGAATCGATTCTCGGTAAAAAAGTACAAAAAATTTTTTCTGATGCGTTTTCATCGACTGTTAGTATATATTACAGGCAAAATGTTATTTCAACATAAGATGTTGCACTCTGACATGATGTATTTTATCTTTCACCCATTATTAATTTCCACTCTGTGTGACTTTCTCTCTTACTTTCTTCCTCATTCCAGATTAAATTGCAGATGCAGAAAGTGGCAGCTATTTGCAAATTAACATTACTATGCATCTGAAAATAAAGACAAAAAAAATTCACTTTTGCAAACTTTTTAGTTATTAGCCAGGTTGATACCACCTGTTTGCACAAATGCAATAAAATACCTTTGACATCATCTCACATGCAATTCAAAGTTATACAAAGGGTGGAAATAACAGATAGTGGAACTGTAAATTTCTCTCAGCGAATCACGACTATTAGTAGTGATGAGACTGCCATTTAGTGAAAAATTTGGAAAATATGGTGAGTGATCCAGGCCATCGCCTAGGCCAATGACATGTTTGGCTCCAAAAAAGTCAGAAATCGCTGATAATCGGAAAAAAACCATCCCTGTATTAGTACTGCAAGAGTGTGCGACATGAAACAGATAGCTTAATATATAATGACACTCACAGGAGGATGTGTTCACCACAGATCGATAGAAATGTTTCAAATTAGTCTACCTCTTATGTCATCTGCAACATTATTGCATCAAGAGGCCAGTTTTTCTAATAATACAAATGATTAGAACCTGACTTCATAAGAAACTGTTTTTATCCACTCAGGTGATTTTATAATTACAGTGATAACTAATAATTAATGAGGTAATACAAATAGAATCATTCATCATCAGTCATCCAATTTCACTGAGATAACTGAAATAGTTTTTTTTTGCATGCACACATGGATTGAAATCCACAAACTGCTTGTTTCTACCGTTCAAAATTGTTCTTTATAAGAGACGGAAACTGTCATTTGCAAGCAGCTACTAAAAGTATAAACTTACCATGTAATTCATTAGCTTTTTTAAAACATCTTCATTTCCCATGATAAAATCTTTTGCCGAGTCTCCATCAGCAACATTGGCCAAGATGCACAGGGTCTACAAATACATAATCAAAATCTCAAATTAATCTTAATTAAGACAATTTCCACAGATTTCAAGTTAATACAAAAATCAAAGTAATTAATCAAGATCATTTCTGACAACGTTATGATTTAGCACACTAATGTATTCTGTAGAATAAGAAATGCAGCAATTACAGGATCAAATTCTTCCTACAGAAAATATGAACCTTAAAAAGCTGACTAAATTGTTGAATAATTCATTAAAATAATTTATTCTGTTTTGTTAAATAATTGCCAGGAAAACAAATTTTATACCAAGGCATAAAAAGATTTCAAATGCACAGACCTACGACTGACCATAAATAACAGTTAAAATGTGAAAACACATATAAAATACTTCCTATTAAATCAGGCCATTTTTTTCAGTTTCCATGATTTAAAAGCTTAATGAAACAGTTCTGCAAAACAAATAAATGGGCAGTAGCACAGCAAAAAATAAAAGTTTATTCTAGACTGGGATTTATCAGTAGATTTTGTTACAATTCAATGTAGGAATATTATCTCATATGAAGATAGGACAACCTCAGGTGAGGTGTAACTAAGAGACGTAGGGGAAGGGAACACAGGTTATAGTAATATAACAAAGACTGGGCATGCATGGAAGCAGATATGCTGTTGAAAATATTGTGAAGCAATTGTGCACAAAGACCAGATGTCAACTCTCAAATCTTTAATTGTTTCATATCCATCAAAATTTCTCCTGTGCACTCAGTGGCAAATAATTCTTTACATCATGTTCAAATTTATGAACCTGAATAGAAATATTCTCTCAACTGTGTCATCAAAGAAGACTACCAATTCACTTTGTGCCTATGATGGTGCAAACACCATGACATTGGTATTGAGGGTTTCAGAAGTCAGGATCTGCACCTTATGGTGTACCATTGACTGGTAATTGCTCTCCAACGAACAGGTTAACATCATGCCCACTATCAGCTTGGCCTTGACGTGTCTGCATCCATCACATATCTATGGAATGGTTATTGCCACAAATTAATACAGCCTATATAAGATGTCTGTACATTTGTTACATGTAGCTTCAGCTGGCTTCTTTTTTCATGTCTATCCCCAGACTTGCTTAAATATGAGCTAAATGAGCTACCTGCCTCATTGACCTGTTTAAGTGCCAACAGTATGTCAAGAGACAACCAGCTTCAACCGTTTGCCAACCCAATCCAACACTCTAAAAGATTAGAGGGATAACAACTGTTCATTTTGGCCAAAAATGGATCTTCCTGGGGTAAACGTTTTCAGTTTTGAAGGTATGAAAATACATAGCTTAGCATTTTTCAAAATCTCTTTCTATGCCTGAAAAGAAAATGATTTACAATGTCCAAGCAACAAATCTGGAATGTGGCCTGTGGGGCTGGTTTTAATGATCTCAAAATAAATAAATATGTAAATAAATAAATAAATAAAAACAGGATAACTTTATGAAACATATTCAGACCAGGCATATTCAAACACTATTTGTACCTTTCCCTGCTTGATGACTTTGGTAAATTTGAAGCAAAACGCCATCTCAGTTTTCAAGTCAATCTAACAAGAATTGTGTACAGCCACAACTTGGCTTCAGCAAACGTTATAGTTGTACCTACACACAGAGCCCTGCCTGTACAGTAAAAAATGATTAGCAAACACTACACACTTAGAGAGTAATGCAACCCTGAAATAAAAGCTTTCCATTAATAGTAACATAACATCCCAAAAATTCATTACAATGATCTGATCACAGCTTAAATTCCCCGAAGCCCTTTTTATCTAATATAACATGAAGCTTTTACTAGTCAGTAGGTGCTTTAATGTAAAATAAAAGGAACTATGAGATGATTAAAATATGATTTAAGCATATGGTTTTCTTTAAGTACCACCAAAAGTAATTATTAAAATCTAAAAAAAAAATCCAAAAA